GATTTCATTGACTGTTAACATGAAAGAGGACTTTGCTTCATTTGCCAGTTGATTGGAAATATTGAGGCATTGTTTGGCAACGCTATCTTCTGGGAGAGACAAGATGTAGCCAAAATTTAATAATTCTTGGAAGAATATTAAATTTTAATGACAACCGTCCTGTTTCGTTTTGAGCAGCAATATTTGGTGCTCTTCTGTTGAGGCCGAGGTAATATTTGTAAAACTGTGTATGAAGTCTTTCCACAGGGTCTTTTTCCCATTTTTTGAGGTTTATGCTATCATATGCTCCCCAGATTTCGGATCCGTATAAAAGTATGGGTTGAAATAGAGTATCAAATAGTTTATTAAACATATTGACAGGAGGTTTATTGAAATCAAGATAACATTTGGATGCGAAAGTAGATTTTCTAGCCTTCTCAACTAAAGCCTTTTTAGAATTTGAGAAGCTTCCATTAGTGAAACTGACTAATGAACTTACGGCCCTCCAAACAATAGCTAAGTATAAAAACATTTTTGGTTCTGGATGTTTCTCTTTTGATTAGTATTTGATATTTTCAAGTTCATTGAACACTTGCGAGATTGTTTGTTTAGACGTTGCGACCAAGCTGTCCCTGTTGTCAATCCGGCCCTCACAAGCTTAGGGGAAAGTACTGTCATGACGAATAATTGTTAGACATTACTGCCCGTGCAGTAACGTAGCATCCCCCACTTTCATTTGTGCTTGAACCCCCCACCCCTCCGGAAATTCCATTTTAGTGTCACACTTTCCATTTAAAAAATGGGCTTTTGGAACCCCCCTCCCCCTTGGAATTTCCATTAACCTTCCTTGGGGTGGGTATGGATATTTTCTGGAACTACACAATAAAAAAAGAATGGTGCAATATTTTGGCTCTATTTTTATAAAATATTTCTCAAAACTATGTGCGTATCTGAAATGTCACAACCATGTTTACATACTCTCATCTAAACACACCTATTGACCAATGACAGCGCACGTAGTATCTCAGTTATTTATAAATGTAAGTGATATATGACCCATGTATTATCCCTTTACCCCCTAAGAGTGCAAATTGGCACACAAGGTCATAACTTTGTGAATATTTGATACATTTCTATGAATATTTGCCATGAAAATTGTCTTGTGAAGATCGACTCATTGAAGTCATAAAATTTTGACTCCCTCCCATCCAAGACATGGTTGACCACCCCCAGAAGTTTTTAGTTCCTTTTTCGGGATGCAAATGGAATGCAAGACTTGTTTCATATCAAGCTA